CTCAGGGACAACGCCCAGGCCCTCCAGGGTTCAAGCCTCATGGCCCACAAAAACACACAGAAAACGTCCTCTGCCCTCCAGAACTCGAGGGGCATTGCTCTAGGGACAGTGCTGCCCCAATCCCTGCTCACTTTGAAGTGAGGATCAAAGGGCACGGGGTGCAGGATCAAGAGGCCGTGGGAGCAGGACCCGGCCAGGCACGGAAGAACACTGGGCTCACGTCTGCAGAACACTGGGGCCTGCAGGGCCTGCGTGTCCCAGCACAGGGAGGGGAGGGAGGGCAGGGAGGGGAGGGAGGGCAGGGAAGGGAGGGAAGGCAGGGAGGACAGGGATGGCAGGGAGGACAGGGAGGGCAGGGAAGGTAGGGAGGGCAGGGAGGGCAGTGACAGTGGCCCCAGAAAGGACTCAAATGGGGCTGCCTCGTGGATACAGTGCTCTCCCCCAACACCGGTCTGCAGCCCCCCCACTGGACACTGCGCCCCACCTGTGAACACCGCCCCCCCAGACACCGTGCCCAATGGACATCACGCCCCATGGACACCGTGCCCCCCCCCCGTGAACACCGCGCACCTCCCCTGTGGACACCGCACGCCAACCCCCGTGGACACCGCACCCCCTGTGGATACCGCCCCCCCCCCCCGCGAACACCGCGGCCCCAGCTGTGGACGGTGGGGTGGGGGCAGGGACAGGCGTGGATGGGGGCGGGGTGTGCACGGTTGGGTCCCGCTGTCCTTCCTGGAGCCCCATGCTGCAGTTGCGCCCTGTCCCCAGCGGTGTGGCCCTGGCTGGGAGGGGACTTCTCAGAGCCAGGGAGTCCCGTAGAGGGGAGAGGCCCGCGGGGGTGGGGGGCGGGAGCCAGGAGAGGCCCAGGCTCGGGCCAGGCTCACCGTACCCCTCCACACACCGCCCCACAGTGCTCCTAGGACACCCAGCTGTCCACAAAGCGGGCAGTGAAGAAGCTGGCGCACCCATTCCAGCCGCTGCCGGAGGGCTCAGGGAGAGCCGGGCTGTCCAGACACCTGAAGGGTGAGCGGTGGAGGGCGACCCTGGGGCGGGTTGGTACCAGGGCCCTGCGGTGGGTGAGCAGAGGAGCCGGCATGAGAGGTGGCCTGGCCCAGGGACGAAGCTCTGGACTGCCTGCCCTTCCTCCCTGCCCAGCTCGGGCTTCTGGACCGGCCTCACACCGACCATGTCCATCGAGGATGCCAACGAAGTATAAGTGGCTGGGAAGAGGGGGCCGGAGCCACTGGAAGGGCCGGCTGGGCCCTGTCCTGGCCCCACTGTAGGTACCTGGTGACCATCTTGAAGGACGCAGACCTGAACACCGTCAAGTGCCAGGCACCGAGTGACACGCGCATGCCGTTCCTCCTTCACCAGCTGCTGCGAGGCTCAAGGTGTCCCCTCAGGGTCACCAAGTCTCCCTTTCCCTGCAGCACGTCCACTCTGTGGGGATCATCCACCAGGTAGGAGCTGCCACAGGGGAGGTGAGGGGCGGGCGGGGCAGCTGCCTGTGCTCACGTCCCATCCACCCTGCAGGACTTGAACGCTGGAGAGCTGATGTCAGCCTTGAGGACCGGAAGGCTGGGAGCACACACAGATGTGGGCGTGGACATGGAGATCTCTCCCCTGGGCCTTGCTCCAGAGCTGAAGATCCCCTGCCTGCACTCTGCTCAGATCTGGGCATTAACTTCCATTTCTCCTCCCAGAAAGGAAGTGACCAAGTAATCTCCAGGACAAGAGCTGCTTGGAGATGGGACTGTGGCTCTTCTGAGGAGTCTCTTCAGGGGCCTAGGGAGGCTTGATGTCAAGTGCCTGCACAAAGAGTGCATGATAAAGGGGAGTTGCCTCTTGATTTTGTGTCCTGGCTACCTGGAAAGGGTGGCCCGATTTCTGTACTTCACACATCTCCAGCACCTTCAACCTTGGTACTGTTCCTTGGTCTCCCAGTGAGACCAGCAGCTGGCTTCTGGCATCTCAGTCTCTGAAGGGTCTGAGAGTGGATAAAGCCAGAAGGGGTCGAGGTTCATGGGAACAGGGCATGCAAGGCACTCACACACAGAGATCCCAGATGCCCTGCACGCAGGTTTCAGTAGACAGGCTCAGCTCCTAGCCCAGACCTAGACCCAGACCCTCCTCTCAATCAAGGCACTCCTTCGGGTACCTCTGCAAGCGAAAGCCTGCCTTTCCCCAGGGCCTGGTCAGGATGGGGGAATGCCTTTCCTTCCTGGCTAAGGGACAAAGGGGTCACTGTAACCAGGGATCCATCTAGTTGCCATTACTACAGCTTACAGATGATGGCCTCTCCTTGGCCTGGTGCCATGGCTTATGCCTGCAATCCAAGCTACTCTGGAGGTTGAGAACTGAGGATCAGTTTGAAGCCAGCCCAGGAAGGAAAGTTCATGAGGCTTTTGTTGTTGTTGTTGTTTTTGCTAGTCCTGGGGCTTGAACTTGGGCCTGGGTGCTGTCCCTGAGCTCCTTTTGCTCAACTAGTGCCCTACCACTAGAGCCACAATTCCACTTCCAGCTTATTCTGTGATTAATTGGAGATAAAAGTCTTGGACTGGGACTGGGAAGGTGGCTCAGTGGTAGAGTGCATGCCTTGCATGCATGAGGCCCTGGGTTCGATTCTTCAGCACCGCATAAACAGAAAAGGCCGGAAGTGGTTTGAGTGGTAGAACACTAGCCTTGAGCTGAAGAACTCAGGGACAGTGTGCCCAGGCCTAGAGTTCAAGCCCCACAACCAACTCTCCTGCCTGGGCTGGGTTCAAACCAAGATCCTCAGATCTCAACTGTCTGAGTATCACCAGACATTCATCTCCAATGAACTGCCAACTTCATATAAGTGAAGCTATGGCTCAGTAAGAGTGCTATCCTTGAGCAAAAAAGCTCTTGGACAGCTCCCATTCCCAGAGTTCAAGCTCCAGGGACATGCACACACACAAAAATATCCTTTCCGTGAGTGCTAGACAACCAACTGGTCTAGTGAGAAGCCCTGGAGAGGAATCCAGTGTTTAGGAGTACAGCATGAGAGCAAAACACTTCTGGAGCCTGGTCGGACACTGGGCCCATGGCCTCCCACAGCGTGAGGGTGAGGAGAGCAGCTGGGGGCTCGTGGAGGGGTTGGTGACAGCACAGGGCACAAGAGGCACTGGGTTCAGCCACCTCTGCACACATCACCAGCCCGGGCAAGTGCCCGGCCGCTCGCAGCAGTCCCGGTGTAAAGCTGTTCTGGCTGGCCTTAGGCTGCTGATTCATGGCTGGCAGGCGGGGCACAGAGGGCCGGCAGGGGTCCCATGGATCCTGTTACCCACCAGCAGAACAAGAGCCTGGGCAGACCTGGGTCCTTCAGCTGTGGGACAGGGCTGGAGTTTGCCCTCCAGGAGCATTTAGGCCAGAACTGGGCCAGATAGTAAAGAGGATGCCCAAATGAGGGGCCAGGTGGAAGGCCAAAGCAGGACCTGCCTTCACCCTGAGGACAGACACACTGGGCAATGGTGCCTAGGACTTTGAAGGACAGCTGGGCAGGGGTGAGAGGGTGTCAGCCTCTGCAGGTGTGTGAAGCAGGCGCTCCAGGTGCCAGGTGGGGCCAGAGGGTTGAAGTGCAAGAGCAGTCCCCTGGGCTCCTGGGCACTGAAGCTGAGAGACAATGGCCTCAGAACTGAGGTTGGGCAGCCAGGGGCTACTCAGGAGGCTGCCATCTGAGGATCTAGTTTTGAGGCTGCTTGGGCAAAAAAGTTTGTTAGACTCTCAACCCCATTTAACTACCAAAAAAAAAACAAAACCCTCAAACAAAGCTAGAAGTGGAGCTGTGGCTCAAGCGGTAAAGCACTGGCTTTGAGCACAGGTCAGGAACAGCACCCAGGCCCTAAGTTTAAGTCCCAGGACCCTCACAAAGTAAAAGAATGAGGTTGGGCATAGAATGGGTGGAGTTTGAGAGACAGACAGACACCTCCTTCCCCCCCCCCCCCGCCCCAAACGTCCAGACGGAGCCTTCTGAGTGGGGTTGCCAGGTGGCTAGGCACCCTGGGAGGGCGGCCGGATCAAGAGGCCCTGCTTAGCCCTCGGTGGTGGGAAGGGCGGGGGATCCGCAAGGGGGTCCGCAGGCAGCGGGGAGCAGAGCGGGAGCAGGTGGCCAGGCGCAGGAGGTAGGGCACAGGGAGGGGTACAAGCCGGTGGGGCGCAGGGGGTGTCGCAGGCAGCGGGGGCAGAGGGGGGGCGCAGGCCGGCAGGGCACAGGGTGGGGTGTAGGCGGCGGGGCGCAGGCCGGCTGTGGGGGTGCGCAGGCGACGGGGTGCAAGGGGGGTGCGCAGACCAGTGTGGTATAGGGCAGGGTGCAGGAGGGGCGCAGGTGGCGGGCGCAGGGCGGGGTGCGCAGGC